TTCGATTAGCTGGGGAGAAATGGACTCACAGGCCTAATGCTTGGAAAGGATGCTGAATGTCCAATGCCTTGTGGAAACAGAATTCTTTACAGGGTGTGTAGTTAAAGATGGATTCATCTTTGGATGTTTTCTTCTGTAAAATTAAGGATTTTTTATAAATGTTCCCAAAACAAAGAGAAAGTCAAAAAACCTATTTGCAGAGACTAGGTGGAACCAGTGAGGGCGGGTCCTGGCTCAAAAATGACGTGCGCTGACATACTTGCAATACCACCCCGGGCCGATGGCGATGGACCCATATATAGCATTGGCAGACCTCTCAAAAAAGGTCTTTACAGGATGGACCAAATGTTGGCTCTTGGCCCAAAGCTTCGTTCCACATGTGTGTCAATGCTGAGGGGGGTGAATGTTTTTGTACCACTCTAGTTTACTTGCTGTGAATTTTTGAAGTCTCTTGTTCAAATGAATGGAGCTTGCGCCGGCTGACGCATGCCCCGATGCATTTTTTCACAATTGTCCAGTAGAGCACTATTTTTGGCCCATTAGTTAGAACGGCGGAGATATGCGTGACTACGTCTGTTAATTTTTACAGTCTATGAGTGGAACACAGATTGATTAGAAAATTGTGTGGACCAGGTGTGGTTCAAAAATTGTGGTATGAACCTCCTGCTTGGATTCTGAGGAGCACAGGGTCAGGACTAAACATGGGGAAGCAAATTTCAGATTTTTGCAACTATAATCCGGAACAGTCTTCCGTAAAAAGACAGGCTTCTTCTCAAACAATGCTCAAATCCAGGTTACAAACGGTTTTGTGCATACAACTGATTTGTGATTAAAATGCCTTGTGTGACTGTTTCGCTCTTGTTTTGTTAAGCACTTTGAGTTGCCTTGTGTGAACTGTGCCATACAAATAAACTGCCTTGCCTTGTTACAGCCTACCTCATTATTAACCCTGAATGCTCTAACTTTTAAACAGGTAACCCATGCATAATAATAAATATAGTGATCTTGGTTTGATCAGTTGGCTGTGTTTGCAGACGATCATTTTCAAATCTGAATTCAAACCCCTCCCTCTGGTGGTCGCATGGGGAATTACAGACAAAAAATATATTACAGAAAATATCCTTCATAATGTTTCACTGCATATATTCTCCATATTTTACTATTTCTGAACATGAATTAACACAGTAAGGCCTCTCATTAAAATTGTTAATGGCCAGAAGGTAACAGCCATGTTTGAAATATGTCTTTATACTTTTGTTTAACCGTTTCCTTTCATTCAAACTTTCAATCACTTTTTTTCTTTCTTTAGACTATGAGCTATAGCCACATTAAACGGAAGGTATTTAAGGCAGAAATGGACAGCCGGCACTCCATATAAAGATGCATGGCTCTCATTTAAAGTCCATTACAAGGGAGAAAACACTGGCTGGCTGAATGACCAATGGTTAGAGACGTTCCCTCGCATTAAACAGTTGGAAATCTATAGTTGTGTGTCTAAATGAGCCCACAGATCAATATGGTTTGGTGAGATGAGACAGAGGAATCTCCAATAACACGGATTGTTGTTGCTGCTTGGTGTCACAATTATCAGAGAGCAGTTGTCAGTCAGTTTATAATGGTCTTTTCTGCCTGTTGGAGGATTAGGAGATTATACGTCCTTGGATTCAGTCGGTGATTTAACTTTTGCGATGAAATGCATGATGCTATTACCTCTGAACCAGCAAGCGTGTGTGTGGTGAACAAATATTGTACATGTTATGCTATTGATTGCACCTGCACTGCACAATAGAAAACACATGTTTGCACAATTCTATAAGCCAAATGTTGTCACCTAACCAAAAGTTGTTGGACAGATGAGATAAGATAAAAAAAAAACGTTATCGATCTCGCAATGGAGAAATATACAGGTCACATTTGGCATAGATAGAATCACTCGCTACTGTCACTTGGGGCGACAGTAGCTCAGTTGGTAGAGCATTGGCCTTTGGGCCTGAAGGTCGTAGGTTCGAATCCACCACTAGACCTACTTCACGACTCCCACTGATGTCTGCTGTCGTTGTGTCCTTGGGCAAGACACTTAACCCCACTTTACCTGAAGCTCCCACTGAAAGATCTCAGCTGCTGTGGACTCACCACCTGCAGGAGGATCAGTGAGGGGGCGGTGCTAAGTGTACTGGGTGCAGCTCTGACTGCCACCCCCCCGACCCAGAAATGGATAAAGGGGAAGAAGATGGATGGATGGATGGAGAATCACTCAGATCATGCAAAAAGACAGAAGTGTGCAACATATTAAGGTTAAAAATATAGTCTGTGCAGGATATTATCATGTACAGTACAAAAAAAATGTGGCAATAGCATTTCTCATTTTTCAGTCCATTAGTGACTTTTTGTACAGTCTGACAGTGGTGGGGATAATAGAGAAAAACAAATCCGATAGAAAACGGTTCAGGACACAACATGATGGATGTCTGCAACTAATACAGTATAGGGAATACATAAGTTTGACCATGTGACCCTGTAGTATAATCAAAGTAAAGTATTTTTCATAACAACATATTTAAAGCAGCAGTATGTAAAAATCTGGCCAAAAGCGGTCCTACATTGTCCCTGACTCAGGTTACCAGATATGTAGACAAATCCAGCTGGGATCATAAAATATGAATAGTCAAGAGTTTTGTCAACAACAAATCTATAACCAAAACATTTTTCACAAAGGCCCTGATAGAAATCCTTGTTTATTCCTTGTTTTGTCATTAAGGATTTGAGAATCATATCAGCCACATGGTACTTAACCAGTGAGATTAGCTCGATGCGGTGAGTTCTGGTAACTCGGGTCACAGACTTTCTGATTGGTAAAACGGTGGAGGGTGGGACATCGAAATTAAAACATGTAGGATAAATTAAAATTACCTCTTTCCTCAATAAAAGACATTTTGTTGTATATTGAGACATATTATAACTTCTGTCTCCACTGTGTGTAAATCCTTGTGGTTCAGGTTTTATTGTGGGTAAGAATGTCTTAAGATAAGTGCCATGGCAACACCCTTCTCCCAACAACTCTACAAGATGTGAAGACTTACAAGGACCCACAGGGAAGACAAACCAGTCTGCTTTGGAACCACGGAGTGACCAGACCTTGCTGGGCTCTGCCCTGGGCTCTGCCCTGGGCTCTGCTCAGCTCAGGCAACCAAGGGGCTTTGGGCCTCTTAGATGGCCTCAAACCTCAGCTCCACGTTTGAGAGGACTTCCACAACCCTTCAATAGCCTCCAGCTTCAACCTGAAGAAGTTGCTGAGTTTTGGCACCTAGACTGTGGATTGTGGGAGGACTTGGTTCAACCACATGATGCAGCCGCATGGTCCAGGCCCTGTGGACAAGAAGCCTCCATCCAACACCATCAAGACCCAAGGACTGCTATTCACCAAAGGCTATTCTGGTTGTATGATCTGCTCTCTTGCTACACACAGTTGTTGGCTTTATTAAAACCTATACTTCAAAGAATACTTCTCTTACCAAGGCTGAACACATGCAGGCCTCAGCCTATACCAATCCATTCATAGACAAAGGTCTTGCTTAGCTCACCTTAGCCTAGCATTTTAACAATGTATCTTGAAATCAACGTTTCCTTCATGTTATTCTTGACAATTTGCATATTTCATATCTAGTCTGTATTGTGTATACTTCATTAAATCTACAAAACCATCTTTGTCTGAAAGTGATATTTGTACTTTTAACTCCAGAAATTGGGTCACTGATTTGTAAAAGAATTCACTACCTTCAGATTCTATTGAAGAGAATTGGACTAACTAGCTAATTAAATAATGAAAGGACTCATGAGATTACCTAATCAATAAATGAGCCAATTAATTGATATTGTGACGTCATATGCACGTTATCAGTTGGGAGTTATTCCCTGGTGCCCCTAAATAAAGCTATTATCAATTATTGTATTTATTACATGGTTGTTTTTGATACAATTCTCCGATATCAGGTACATAACTTAAGTTATGTGTGATATCAAAATTTTCTCACCCTACATACAATAAGATTTAGGGGCTGTAAAACTAATTTTGAAATTAAATTATCTCGGCTGAACTATTGTTTTCAGTTAAAGAAGTATTCAAAAAGAACATGGTTTATTCGACATGGTTTGTTTCTGTATGAGGGGCTGGTGCTCTGTGTACTGGGTGGCATCTCTGACTGCCCCCCCACCCCCGACCCAGAAATGGATTAAGGGGAAGACAATGAATGAATTAATGAATGTTTTTGTATGATCTTTTGAGATAATAGGGCCATATGAGGATGACTTGACATGAACATCTTACATATTGCTACTAACAGTCCCGCCCCTTGGCATAACTACCCCCAGTTACATTTTCTGGATGAGAATAGTTAGACCGATGGTGAAATAGTGGACTAACCAGGAAGTCGTGGGGGTGGTCATATACTCAAATATCTATCAAAACATGTCTTTCCATTTTCACAATTTGAAAATAAACTGACCTTCACTTGGTGCTTTAACACATGACTGACCACATACTTTATAAAACGCAAGGTTTAAAGCACTTGATAACATACGGAGCTTAGAGTCTGAAAACTGCTGTAACTATTGTAAAGAATCTTCACAAGTTTGTGGACTACAGAGCGACGCCCCTCTGACAGGAGGCCATTACTTCTCTTTTAAAAACAATTATTATTCATTATTTTGATAATGGATAATGAAATCCTGTGGTTACTTTGCTTATAATCAGCAGTAATGGGGAAGGCCATGCTGAGACGCTTGACAAGCACACAACAGTCGCAATGATTTAAAGACAGACATTCTCATATATTTTATGAGACTAGACTATAAATCCAGAGTTGAAAATTCATTATGGAGAGTTGTAGGGGTGCTCGGGGAGTGGAAGCGAGTGCAGAAGATTACTGGGACAACAACTACATTCATCAAATGTGTCGTCCTTGAAGTGTAGAAGCACATAGTACAGCTGTAGCAGGACCTACCTTCTCCCACTCTCTCTCCTTATTGAGCACGATCACCACCAGTTTAGGGTTTTCTTGGTATCCATCCTCTGTGAACGACAAGTCTCTGCCATCCCATGTTACGTTCATCATGTACCTGAAACAGAAGCGAACAATACTGAGTACAATTCCAGTGTCAGAAAATGGGAAATTGAAGGAAGGAGAACAATGTAGGTCATGAAATTGGAAAATGTGCAGACTTTTGCAGAGCTATATTTGATTCTCATCAGAGATTGGGACACAATTACATGGACATAAATGGACAAAGTATAATGCAGACTGATAATGAAACCCGCCGTGCCCTACAATTATATCTTGTTTTACCATCTTCTATGGATTTGCCATCAATGGGTTTCTTCAATTTACTTCTTAATAAAGTAGGTATATATGCCCAGGGTTTGCGACAAGCTTTTTTACATCAAGCAATGTGTAAGATAAGAATGGACCAAGTGTTGCAGCGCAAAAATCAGTAGCTATAAAAGCAGAACCCAAAACAAGATAAACGAGCTGTGAATAGAGACACAACTATGAATGCCTAACACATCTTAAGATTAAGATGTAAAACTTAAAATATGATATGTGCCCTGTCTTAAAATAAATAAGACTATGCAAGATAAGCAATAGGGGCTTAAATAATAATAATGATGATGTATGTATTAAGCAGCATTGAGAACGGATGGAATTTAAAACCAAGAAAGTAAATTGTCATATGAGTCAGCAGCGTTCATTGTGTTTTGAATAGTGCCAGGAGAAAGAAAGACCTGCAGAACCTCTCATTCACACAGCGAGGGTGGATCAATCTGTCACTGAAGTGTCGAGGTGTCTTGCAGGGGTCGACAGTCATGCTGCACTGTTTTCAGGCGACAACCCAGGACTGAGCTACACACCCTGAGAACCTTTTCCAGCGTCTGTCCCTCTGTAAAACTGCAGTTCCAGACCGTCACTTTTCACAGAATCGCTGCACTAGATCAGCACCACACTTATTGAATAAATGTGTCTGACCAAAGCAGCCCATGTGACTTTTGCTTCTATGTAGCAGTGGACACCAAACAACCAGATAAATATGGAGTGTAATGTATGTATGTAACAGTATAAGAAAGAGGGGATTTCCATAGATTCAGTACACAAGCAAAATGTTTCATCCTCAAAGTTTTGTTTTGTTTTAACGTTTGCTTTAAAACAGGTTTATTTTAGTTAAAGTAGCAGTATGTAATATTTGCATGTCAAGTCATAATTAAATGGCCCCAATATTTCAAAAGGCGTTATTAAATCATGCTCTTTTCTAATACATCTTTAACTGATAACAGTTGTTCAGCCGAGATATTTTAATATCAAAATTAGTTTTACGACCCGTAAAAGTTGTTATTGTTTTCATTTCGCTGTTTTGCCAATCAGGAAGTCCGTGATCCGGGTTGCCAGAACTCCCCGCTGCAAGCTAATCTCAGTGGTATAATAATATGTGGCCGCAGAACTAAATGAGGTCTTGTTATGATTCTCAAATCATTAATGACAAAACAAAGACTAAAACAATGATTTAAATCGGGACGCCTTTGAACACTTGAGACAATTGAAGGCGGATAAAAACTTTCTGTGATGCAAAACTTTCTGTGATGCAAAACTTTCTGTGATGCAAAACTTGCTGCGTTGAGTGCGTTTTTCATTTTGATTTTCTCATCTGAAATTGTCCCAATAATAATAATTAAAAAAAAACCATTCATTCAAAAAATTAATTCAACATTAGCATGTGAATGGAGACAGACAAACAACTCATACAATAATTCCCTGTGTTTGCTTCTGGATTTGGTGTGTATCTGGCAACCTGAGTCAGGGAGAGTGGGAGGGGACTACAAAATATTGACTGTGACTGCAGTAACACTTTTGGCCAGAGTTTTACATACTGCTCCTTTAAGACGTCAGTTGTAAAATAAGTATTAAGAGTTGAAAGCTTTAATGTCCTCACACTTTTAAAGTTGTGTCATTTCATGATTGTGATCCCATCTGCGCAAACTCTGAAGAAACACTGCAATCCTTTCAACACGACCACACAGACAACAGTAATCCTGTTTCCTCTTGCTCTGTTCCATTTTGTAGGTGTTGTGTCTCGATCCACAGCCAATCCAAACAAAAGCTCACACATTGGCATTTATCCTCCGGTACATACACCCACAGTAAGGCCTCAAATGCTTCTGTGTGGCACCAGGCTCACCCACAGAGACCCAGTCTATAATGAGTGACCCATATGGCAGGTCACATTAGCTAAGATGGAGGGCGCGGGGGAGATATTCTTGGGTTGGCACAGCGAGCACATTAATCAAGCCTGCCCTCTCCCTCTGTGGCTCTCTCAGCTCTATCAGTTGGTCATGTACAACACAAGCTCGGACAGCTCCTCTTCTCTATCTCGGCTGGTCTGCTCTCCCCGTGCTTTCATAAATGGAGCAGAGACGTCTCGCGTGATAGGTCGATAAAGAAAAAAACAGGATGTTACATGCAAGCGAAAGGTAATTGTGCATCAACAAATGTGGAGAATGCGATTTGCGCTTGTTCGCAGCCATGCAAAGATGAAATTGGAAACAGATAACACGGATCGGGTGATTAGAATAACTTGATTGGGCCGCAGGAGTATAGGCGAGACGTATTAAGTCATCTGACCGGGCACAGAAGCAGCGCTCAACCCAATTATGTGTGACTCCGGTGAGGAACGAGAAGCTGGGGATCGATATTGGCCAGGAAGGCGACTGCACAAAAAGACAATGGTCCGTTCTGAGAGCAGACTGAAGAATCGCACGCTAGCAAGCAAAACAATTCAAGATTCGATAATGTATTATTTTTGCATTTAAACAGCTTTGGAATAGCTTCAAAGTGGCATATAGATTACTTATTTCAGGCTAACACTTACATGCATAGTAAAAGCAACAGTTTTTTTCAGATAAATGAAAGTGGTATACAATCAATATGGTTGCATTATTGATAAAAGCTGTGATTGCATTTGAGTTTCAAAGACTCAGTCCTGGCTATACACATCAAACCTTGATCGACAGCCCCAGACCTGGTTCTACAGCCCCAGTTCTGGATCAACAACCTCAGTCCTGGTTCTACAGCCTCAGTCCTGTGTCTGCAGCCCCCGTCCTGGATCAACAGCCTTAGTCAGGGATCTAGAGCCTCAGACCTGGACTACTGCCTCAGTCCTGGATCTAGAGCCTCAAACCTGGATCAACAGTCTCAGTCCTGGATCTACAGTTTGTGGGAGCGGACCCCTCTTTCAATATGGGCCTCCCCAAGGTTACACATTTTTTTTACAACTGGATTTTTATTAGTTCTTCCATGCAGGAGGATAAAACTACAATGAATAACTAGGGCTATACAAAATATAAATTGAATTGGATTGAATTAATAAACTCAAAGGCCTGTGAATATGAGATGATGTATACACTTGTGTTTCCCCTGGAGAACAAAACACACCATTACAACATGCCATTCTTGTTTCTAATTCAATAATCGTTTAGTTGTCATCATTTGATTAACATGTTACATCACTGATGGACGCCAAATCAAGTATTCTACTATTATACTCCCAAAAACAACAAAGGGATAATTTCACTATTATTCACCAGTAAGTAAAATAGTACTGAGATAAAGTATTTGGGACTGGAAACTGTACTTAAATCTGTCCACATGAACAACTAACAGGAAAGATTTTAGCAGTTTTATATTCAATATTTTTTTTCGAAACACATAATATCAATGTTTTTTTAAAAGAAAGACTCAACTTGCTTAAGTGCACGTTCACCAAGTCTTTCCATTGTGGATGTGATTGACTAACCTCTCCTGCAAGTTGAATTCTCGCGGTATTTGTGAGTTCACAAACACTCGAGAATACATCTTGTCCCGCTCCCGCCAACCCTTTTCGAGTAGAACATCTAGGTGTTCAAGCCAATCACGCGCCAGTCTGGGGGTTTGGGGCGGGATATCCGGGTTTGACGAAAGCAAGAAGTGCCGGGCTGAAGCAAAACAAACATGGCTACGCAGGAGGACGGACGCGTAGCTGAGGCTATCAAGTCAGTTTTAGCAGAATCTCCAATTTCTTTTTTGAAAGATGAACAGCGAGAGGCGCCATGTGCATTTCTGGACGGCAACCTTGGTAGGCGGGCACACAGCATCACTTCGCCCAATCAGCTTGAAGTATTCTGCTGCTTATCCCTCCTTTCCCCGAAAGGATTCTCCTGCAGAAGTCCCAGATTGATATTGTGGAGAACGCATTAGAGTTCTACACAATCATCAATCTGGCTCTTGCCAGGTTAGTGATTGACGTGACCGAGACAGTCAAGCCATTATTTGAAGATAGCCATAGATAGATAGATACACACATACATAGAACGGATATGAAGGAAGTTATGATACAATACAACAAATGTTATGACAGAAGGAACAAAACTTTTGCTGAATCTTGCCCGCTTCCACCTTCACGTTCTGTATCTACGGCCTGAAGGCAGCAGGGTGTGGACGGGGGGTTTGGGGGAGATATTCGGAGTCTCTGCTAACCGTCCAGGTCACAAAAGGACAGCATTACTCGTGTGGCAGTGGTTCCAGGAAAAGTTTCCTCAGCAAACACTTTTCCACATCTATAAAAAGAATTTGTCTGGTCCCCATGGATTTGGATTTCCAGAAAGTCCTATCATTAAAAGCACAAGACACTAAATCGCTGCTGGTCCCAAATGGGCAGAGGAGAAATGAAGAATGGGAAATTGGAACGGCAAGCAAGCCCAGCATTTCAAACAGGACGAAACACATTGTGCTCTTGTGTCCTTGGGCAAGACAATTTGGCTGCCAGTACAAATACAGTTGTAGTTTTTCTTCTTAACATATACATTATAAACTACTTAAAATACAAATCGTTCTATCCCTGCAACCATTTCCCTTCAAGAATCCTATTGCAATTGGTGTGAAAAATGTAGCATAATTCATTTAGCCATAGTTTAACAACATTATACAATATTTTAGCAGAGGAAAAATTAGGCTAAAAAGCATAACAGGCGTGGCAGGCGTCTCAACACGGGCATTACTGAATGCGGCTGTCGTGATGCAATTCTTATGTAACTG